AAAAAAAAAAAAAGGAGTGCTGGTGAATTTAATTCATACGCAAATTACGATTCTGAAACTCCATTGCATTTACCATGGCCTTAAAGGATTTACATTTCTAGGTAATAAATGCTACCAAAGTGCATGAACACTATATGCCAAAGGGATATTCTGCTACTCAATTACATTTTGGCTGACTATAAGAACTTCAACAAGAATCTCATCCAAGATGATTTCCCCTGAGGAATAAGAGAAAAGCTGACTTAAAACAAGTAAAGTTAAATACAGCTGAGGGTCTCATAAAATCTTGACTACTGCTAAACAAAGTAACTGTGAAGAATAACCTCTCCATGACTACCAAGACAGAAATCATTCCATTTCTTGTCCATGCTTTTTATCAATGGATAAGAAGTGGATAAGCAACTAAAAGCTATTATATTGGCACCTAATGAATTATATGAAGAATTCAAATACAGGTCAGCTAAAATTAAACCCAAATCAAAAACTCACTACTTTTTCAATTCAAAGGTAAGTTTGGTGGTATAAACTTTATTTTCCTAATAAACTATCTCCTTCATTACCTAAAACAAATTTATTCCTTCTTTCTAAATATTCCAAAATAATGTTCTATCACTATGTCTTTCAGAACCTTGAATTTCAGTTTATTCCTTATAGAAGATATTCTTCAATTAATCTTCTTCAGTCTCATCCTACAAGGATTCATTAGAATTGTTTTTCTTCAGAAATAACTTCATAGTACATTTTAATGTTGGTAAGCAGTAAACTAACATTTATTTATAACTAAGCATTGCATACTTTAAGAAAACTTGACACATGAAAGGATTTTTTTTTAATTACTGACATGCAGGTTAAGCTAACATTTATTTATAACTAAGCATTGCATACTTTAAGAAAACTTGACACATGAAAGTCTTCATCAACCTGGCTAACACCATTTGCCCCACCCTGTGATTCCCTGAGATCCTGTCCCACCCAACTTTCGAGCCTACCAAAGCTGCTTTTAGTGGCTTTTCCATACAAACGGCATATCTTCACTCATACCGCAGACTTCCCTAAAATCTCTCAAAGGTTCTGCTCACCCCAAAAATAAATGAAACCTTAGGTGAGTTTATATACTAAACATCTGGCCAACAAGCAGCACCTGGCCTCAATATGCTCCATATTTCTTACTAAGCAGCCCCACACACAACTCTAGCGGCAGCCAGCCTCAAATCACAGCTTAGCTTCTCCCAGGCAACTCCAATGCCAGCACAACTGGCAACCATTTACACATCACTTTGTAGCTCATGCCAAGGAGCCCTGGGGAGGGCACAGGGAGCAGCCGACCTTGGCCTGTAACACAGCCCCAGAACCAACATACCTGGTGGCCAGCTTCAGAACACACCAGAGCACTCAACCACCTCCACATGAGACACACCCATAGGGCAAACTAGGC